TCCTTGCGGGCCGGGAGGTGCCAATTGACATTTGTTTTTGAGTCGGTGCAGTGCAACGCTGACGAGTACGAGCTCTCGACTGAGGAGAAGGCCGATTTCGAGAAGCGGCTGCAGTCTTTGCAGGACGGCCTTCGCGGAGCTGTCACCTCGCCACTCGCTGACGCAAAGACGGCAGCCGCTCCACTGTCCCTCTACATTCTTACCCATCTTCCGCCTGCTGTCGTTGCGCTTCACGGTGCTCTGGAGGATGGAGTGGGAGCTAAGGTTTCGGACGACCTGGCAAACGCTCCTTATTTTCCAAGCATTTTCTGTGGGTGGAGGGCAAAGGGTGAAATCTGAAATGCCGTTTCGTTTTCGAGGCTTTAATCTGCAAAAGGCGAATCACAAGACGGATTGATTTTCGAGGTGCAAAAGCCCATTTCTTCCTGAGCCCTCCACCCTAAGAGAATGCTCCGATTTTGCTCATCGCTGGATCTGGGCAAACCGCTCGGCTGTCGGCCGGGCGGCCTGGCCGGTCCTCTCGCGAGCAGTGCTGCCATCTCAGGTGTTGACGATTGCGCCGACGGGTCGGGCAGGAGGAAGGGGAGGCCTGGCAAGTCCAAGGCCTGGGAACACAAACATCGAAAGGTTTTCGCGCCAGGTTTTCGAGGCTTCGCCCGACCATAGGAGGCCGTGTTGCACGGAAGGTTTCTGTTGCCGGCTCCATGGTGTCTAAGAGTTTCGGTGCTGACGTCCGTAGGGTTACGGACTACGATGAAGTCGGGCCTGTCCCTCTACAGGGGGGAATTCATAAGTAGTCAAAACGTAGCCGTGGGACATTATATATATGTATATTTTTTATATATACATACACATATACATATACATATACATATACATATACATACATACATACATACATACATACATACATCCATACATACATACATCCATACATCCATACATCCATACATCCATACATACATACATACATACATACATACATACATACATATATATATATATATATATATATATATATATATATAAAATATGTATACATTATAAAAACAGTTTGTTCAGCATTTGTGGTGGATTTTTAGGGTATTTTTAATCATTCGCCCAGAATCCCCCTGTAGGGGGACAGGCCCGGCTCCAGACTGCGAGCTTCTCGACCTCCGCCGCCAGGCAGGCTCCGGCCTCCGGCCTTCGGCCCGAGGCCGTCGTCTCACTGGCTTACTGTTGGCTCAACAGGCCCCGTGCTGGCCGGCGAGCGTGGCGCCCATCACTCGGTGGGCCAAGGAAGCCTGGACCTCCCATACTTCGGGGGCGGCAAAAAGGGGGGTGAGGACTAGGGGGGAGGGGATATCGTGGCGGGGGCTAGAATGTTTCCCCAGATTTCATGGAGCCTTTTCTTATTTCATTGCGTTCCTGGCCTTTCCCCGCTGGGCCGTGCACGTGCCGCCAGCCATGGTTTGCACCCCCCCCCTCTTGGACGCCCCCCTCTTGGCCGCTCCCGAATCTTCGCTTGTCCCCTCATTCTATTCCTGTCCCGGAGCCCCGCGTTGCCTGGGATAATGCCGGATTTTCGGGCGAACCCCTGCTGTGGCGTAGCGTGTTCGGGCCTATTCCTTCTCAGCGACAGTCTTGCGGGAGAATTTCGTGGAGTATGCCTTCGCTTGCAGTTCTGCTCGCGGATCAGGGCCCAGGGTGTCTCTCAGTACTTTTTCGCCCTCCTTGGTCAAAATCAAACTTTTTTTTTTTTTTTTTTTTTTTGTTTTTTGTTTTTTTTTTTTCCTCTTCTTCAGGGGCTTGGAGTGGGATTTTTGGGCCTGTCTGAACCTTCTTAGGCGAGCTTGTGCGGATGGCATCCTTCATCTTTTGTCTTCTGGTCGGTTCACTCCCTTCCAGAAGGGGTGCATTCGTGCTCTGTTTGACGATGCCGTCTGCACTCGCACGCGAGCTGTAAGTCTAGGCTGTAAGATCGACAATGTGTGCCAGCTGTGCCTCGCTGTGCCTGACTTTTTAGGGCATCGTCTGGGAGTGCGAGGCGGTCGGAGAACTCCCTGCCGATCTTGTCAAGCCTGAGTTCCGCAGAGCTGCTGCTGTTGCTGCTGCTGCTGATGATGCCCTCCCTGGCTTGCTACGGGATCTTCCCGCATCCTGGAGATGATGTTCCTGGGCCTGTTTCGTCTGGGGGCATCGAGGTGGAGTGGGTTGTGGAAGCCGGAGATCGCAGTGCCGACGTCCAGGGAGATATTTTCGCCGACGGATCCTTCACGAGACGTCTCATATCGGAGCTCAACCTCGCTGGCTGGGCAATCAGTGTGTGGGGTTGTGTCGCAGGTCTCGAGAAACTCAGGGTTCGGGGGCCGGTCTGGGTCCGTTGTCCCCAGACGCCCCAGGCGGCCGAGTTTTATGCGTAAAGCGTCGCTTGTCAGTGGTCAAGTGGCCCCAGCGAGCTGCACCTGGACTGCCAGAGTTGCATTGATTTTCACGCCTTGCCATTTGATGCCCAGTGCTCTCCCAAGCGTACTTATTCGGGGGTTGCCCAATTTTGTAGGCCTCTGCACACCAGTGCTCTCTGAGCAAAGTGAAGGCTCATCAGGACCTCAGCTCCTGCGAAGATGACTCTGCGCGCTTTTGCTGCGAAGGTAACTGCGCCGTCGACGCCTCGTGCAAGCTCGCCGTGGCCCTGCACCCCATTCCGGATCCAGACGATGCGGAGAAGGTCAATAAGGACACCTCGGTTGCTAAGGCTGTCGGCGTTTCAGCTGCCAACCTGTTGCCGTCCTGCTCTCGCCTTGATATGGGTCCGGGTGTGGAGCGCTCGCCAGATCCGCCCAAACCTGTTTCTACTCCTGAGCGCCCGCCTCATAAATGGTGCTGGATCGGATCTTTTTGGCCGTGCTGCGAGTGCTTGCGAGGGCGTCGTGGCGGGCCAAGTTCACCCCACTGTGGGTGGAGCCTGCTCTCAGTCCTTACAAGTGCAGCCTGAGGCTTTGCGAGCCCTTGGCCACCGATGTATTGTTGTCGACAGTTCCGACGGGTCGTTCCTGTGCGTAGGCCAAAGATGCTGCTATATGAATTTCGGCGTTCGGCTTGCCAAACTTGGCAAGAAATGTGAGCCACAGCTACGCATGTGAACCCGTGGTCCAAACTCCAACGCGGGCTCCATCCTTCGCCCAAGAATCCTGGGGTTACAGTTGGCGTGGGCACGGCTTGCCCGATTTATTCACTTCAGGCCTTGTTGTTGCGCCTGCTGCGAGCTATGGTGCGGACTAGCCGCTGCTCCTGTGCTCTCAGCTGGTTTGTTCCTTTCTTTTTCCGTGGGATGGAACCGCCCGCCCCCCAGGGTGCATGTGGGCAGCTTGGTAGCCGTTAGTGGCAAAACGAATCCTCCTCCTCCTCCGCCTCCTCCTCCGCTTCCGCCTCCGCCTCCAC